TTACTCATCTTCCAAAAATTTCACTTAAGTGAATCATCTCAACCAACAATCATCTTCAACACCACCAAGTGAATCCCCTTTTGAGAAGAAAAAAAGGTACATTGACCTAAACCTAATTTTGTTTTTTTATTATGTTAAATAATTTTTTGTAAATATTTATTATTTTGGTTCCCAATATTATTGATTTGTCTTCCACTTGCACCATTTTATTGTGTTGAAGAAATCCGATCGTCGGTGGCCACTGCTCTTGCCGGGCGGAGAACGTCGTACGGTGTCTGGTGGTCGATCGCCGGTTGGTGGGAGGTGATCGTGGTCCGCTCGCGATAGGGTATAAGAGGAGCTGAGGGTGTTTAAGGAGTTGGGATGTGAGAAGTGTATAAATATCAATGTTATCGAACGAAAAAGATGTGAGAAGAATAAAGGAAAAAAATTAGAATTAAGTGAGAAAAATAATAGAATGTCCCAACCGCAGTTTAAATGTTAACTCCGGTTGACAAATATTTTCAACTCCGGTTGACGTCCCAACCGAGGTTGGCCGAGAGGGTATTTCAACCGCGGCTCGAATTTCAACCGCGGCTGAATATCGTCCTTGCTTGATTCAAAGTCCAAAACATATTTTCACAGCTGGTTGAAATTTCAACTCCGGTTGACGTCCCAACAGCGGTTGGCCGAGATTGTATTTGAACCGCGGCTCGAAGTTCAACCGAGGTTGGCTGATTGAGTACATCAACCAACAAAAACAGGTTTCTTGAGCAAGACTCAAGAAACCTGTTTCTTGCCCAAGAAACCTGTTTCTTGAAACAAAATACAGGTTTCTTGTCAAGAAGATGGTTTCTTGAGCAAGGTTTGTTTGAAGATCTCTTCCCGGCTCTTTCAATTGGCAAGGTATATTGGGTACTCCAATCCAACAAAATATTGTCAATTCACACCAATTCTAATAGTTTTACTTAGATATTTTACGATTGTTTACAATGACATAATTATTAAATAAGTAGAAAAATAAATCCAACCCACACATTCAACAATATTCAACAAATCCAGCCCAAATTCACTTCCAAACTTTAAGCATGCGTTATAATGAACAAACCACAGTAGTCAATCCAACCCACAAATATTCAATGAACACAATATGCAACCATCCAAGTTTTCCAAAGTGCAAAAATAGCTAAAGTGGCAATAACGGTGGCAACAAGTGGGTTAGAGGGGCCAATGTCTCCGCTCGACGAAGAATGTCCTCTGAATTGTGGGCCAACGAGTCGTAGACATAGATCTCTCGCTTTTCTAAGACCACACGGCATACCACCCAGTGGTCCCCCACATTACATACCAAGCCGACCTGTTCAATTCAATCCATAAATTATCAATTAAAAACTTTCACATAGGTTGGATAAACTAAACAAAATCACCATTTCATTATAATAGCATCACTAATAAATCCAACCACTTACATAGAATTCTGAAGCCAAGGTTTACCCCAACCAACAGCTTTACCACGAACATATTTCATAATGTCCTCAGGTGCAAGTTCTCAAGACCAACCAATTCAACCCAAAAATAACAACAATACTATAGGTTTCCACTACAGTACGCATGCTCATACAAAGGTCCTATTTATAATACTACATCATTCAAATTTAAAGATTTAAACCTATAACTAATCCTAACCAACACATTTAAAATTTTAAAAAAAAACTAACATAATTATCCTATCCAATACATGAAAATCCAACTTCTTCTGCCATCATCCATGCGATCCGATTTCCACTCGAAAGTCCGGCTCTCATCAGCCATCTTCAACTCCAAGCATCACCCTACAAATCATGGAATGATTAATATTATTTTTTTTCAACAGTTTCTAGCATTTTAAAAACACAGGATTTAAATATGAATAAAAAAAAACTTAATTATCTGTCAAGAAACAACAAAGCAGAAACAGTTTCTTAAACAAGTCTTGTTCAATAAAACCGTTTCAAAAAACATGTTCTTGTTCAATAAAACTGTTAGGAAACAGGTTTCTTGAACAGGAAACAAGTTTCTTGAGTAAGAAACAGGTTTCTTAAAGAAGAAACAGTTTTCTTGAGCAATAAACCAGGTATCTTGAGCAAGAAACCAGATATCTTGAGCAAGAATCAGGTTCAAGAATGCTCAAGATGCATGGTTTCTTGCTCACGAAAAAATACTTTTTTTCACATAAAAATAACATAAATACAAATCTGTCAATAAACAACAAGGCAAAAGTTGCACGAAACACGTTTCTTGAACAGGAGACAGGTTTCTTGAGCAAGAAACCAGGTATCTTGAGCAAGAATCAGGTTTCTTGAACAATAAACAGGTTTCTTGCCAAGAAACCTGTTTATTGAGCAAGAAACTTGTTTCTTGAAGAAACCTGTTTCTTGTTCAAGAATGCTCAAGAAAAAAAATACTTTTTTTCACATAAACAACATACCTCATTAGTAGATGTCATCTTACATTTTTTGAAGATTTGTTTTAAATTAAAAAAAAAAAAAATGAAGAAATGCCGCAACTTACATTTTTACAATGCTTAACCCACATATTTGGTGTGCACACAAAACCGTAAATACACACTTGCACACACACACACACACACACTTATAAGCAAAATCTTCAAAAATTACGTTTACGAAAGTGAGATCATCAACCAAATCCAGAAAAATCAACGATTCCGTAGTATTATAGGCATTTCGAGAGTGAGAGCAAATATATCCAGAACATCATAATAAGCTCACAAACAAGACCTGAAACAAATCTGAAAACAGAAATGAGTTTCGTACCAGAAAATGAGAAATTAACTTAAATGCTTTCAATCCGTAGAACCTGCAGAGTATTCAAAAATAGCAAAATGAGAAAAAATAAAAATAAAAAAATAGATAAAAATAAATACAATATAGTCCTTCACTACTGCTTCGTAGTCGTTGGCAAATGCACGTCAACAAAATGTGTTAAGTATAAAATAATCTAAAATTGTAATTGACTCTAGTTTATGTTCATCACTATTTTGACTCTGGTTTAAAAAAAAAAAGGAGAAAAAGAAAAACCGCTGTCAATGAGCAAATGACCATTACCCCATACCATGGCATACCAAAACTTCCAGTTACTCTCTTCAATCGCATTCGACATAATTTAAATAGAATCATGACACCCTAGATTTCAAATTTAACCAACGAGCTACAAAAAACGCAAATATTGCTCAGTAATACACAAACAGAGCCAAACAAATCACTAAATTAGAGCACCATTCAAAGAAACTACGAAATGAAGAAATTCCGATGTAACAATGACTCATATTTATGCCCAGCACATTATCTACTGTGGTTAAAATAAAAATGAAAAGCGAACAAAAAATCTCAACCGAACACTTCAAAGCACCCAATGAGCAAATGAATGAACAAATGAACAGTATCTCATATCATGACATACCAAACCTTCCATTCACTCTCTTCAATCGCATGTTTCGCATTCGAGATAATTTCATTAGTATCATGACCCCGCAACTTTCAAATTTAATCAACGAGCTATAAACAACACACACATTGCTCAGTACTACACAAAACTGCGCCAAACAATCACCCAATTAAAGCACAACTCAGCCAATTTCACAGAAACTCAGGCACACAAATCGAGACAACCCGTTACCTTGTAAGGCTAATTCTCGCGGTAAAAATGGCAGATGACGTGTTCGCTGGCCTTCACAGCCAGAAAAAAACTCCTTCTCATTGGGGATCTCGGAGTACTCGCCGTGGCCGTGGCTGGCCCACATTTTATCCTCCGAGCCTTTGTATATGTGGCGCCACTGGATAGCCTTGAACGTCTGTATTCCCGGATTCAAGGCAAGCTCGACTGGCGTTAGCTGTGTGTTGATAAATGAGGGAGCCTGAATTAGAACAATAATTATAAGAAACTATCCTGAGGCTTTTTCCTAATTACCAAAAAAATAACTACATTAATCCAAATACTCCTGATGGGTTGTGTTTCATTTACATCCATTCCAAAAACAAGAAACTTTCTAACCATCAAACATGATTCACAACAAAGAGAAGATAACTTGCAAACCTTAACAACAAAAATAAGGTTTGTTCAATTTCCCTCTCACACCATCACTCACAAAATCATCTAAATGCTTAAGCTTTGTTCAATTTCCCATAATCTTTGCCCATTGAAAACACAACAACAAAAACTCATATTTTTTACCATTAAGATCCAATAACACATATTTCAAAGCATATCCATCCCATTTCTTGAAGAGTTTCAGAGAATTAGGTCTCAGGCGAGGAAAATAGTGAGTAAAAGAACACAACATGGTACAGTTGAATCTTTGGTTTAATGCATAATAGTGCAACTGCAGACTAGAAATTAGGTTAATCCTTATATGCTGAAGAATAGGTTAAATCCACTAGTCAAAAGTTATGCTTCTACAGTCATGGCAACACATTAAGCCTATTTTGTTCAGAATCTGCAGATTTTCTTATAAACATATACGCTTGAGATAAAACCATACCAAAACCATCCGAGAAGCACAATATTTTCGAAATGGGTTGTTAACTATAGATCAACCGTAAGTATAATCTTGTTATATAACTTCTCCGAACCCCAAATTTCAAGGCTAGCTACCAAACCATCTCCAGTGGTTGCAAACTAAACTCTCATAGCCTACACTCAAATACTTCAATAGCAGAATCCCAAAATAACAGCAAACACATATAATCAAACACTTGAATAGCAGAATCCCATCATAAGTCATAACAAAAACACAAAGACAAACACAAACATTAAAAGAACATAAATCATCAACGGAAAAAGAAAACAAAAGGATTCTTAAAACACGTTTTAACTAAAAAAACCCTAAAAATCGCCTGAAAACCCAAAAAAAAAGTAACAAAACGCACCGTGAATCGCCGGAGAAGAACTCAAAATACACATTTAAACTAGAAAACCCTTAAAAATTGCCTAAAAACACAAAAAAAAAAGAAAATAAAAAAAACGCACCTTGAATCGCCGGAGAAGAGAGCTGCGGCTCTGTGGACGAGAAGAGAACTCGTTGAAAGCGAGCGAGAAGCTCAATGGACTGTGACTCGTCGGAAAGGGGAAAGGGGAAAGGGGAAAGGGAAAAGGGGCGGGCGGTTTGCAAAGGGGAGAAAAATGAAAATAAAAGGGGAAAGGGGCGGGCGGATGAAAAAGTGAATAAAATGGAAATGAAAGCTGCGAACCTTCAAATCGCCGGAGCTTCGAAATCGAAGAAAGCTGCGAACCTTGAAATCGCCGGAGATGAAAAGCTTCGAAATGAGGTGAAATCGGAGAAGAGAGCTTCGAAATTGAAGAAATGTTCGAACCCTAGGGAGAGAGAGAGATTCAAAATCGGGGAAATGAGAGATTGACGAAAGGGGGAAAATGAAGATGGTGAAAAAAGGAGAAAATTATTTCTAAGGGCAATTATGTCTTCTCACATGGCCAAATGGCTATATTTCATTTTTCTTAGAAAAATGGCTAGATTTTATTTTTTGTTTAGTTGAAGTGCTATAAAGCACCATTACCACTATTTTTATTCCTTCTTTAAAAAGAGATGCCGAGAATTATTTTGGGAGAGATGGGAATAATTTGTTTGGCGGTCCATTTAAGTTTCCTCAATAATTTTAGGATAGGTTTTCAATAACCTGACATATACCAAAATAAATATGCTTTCTCTAAATATTAGAATTTAGCATTTTGAATGAAAACATTCAAAACATGTTGAGCGGGATTTTTGAAAATTTTTCAAAAAAAATTACTTACTTTAGTAAGTTTAAAATTTTTAGGCGGGATTTCTAATTTTATTTCAAGTAAATATCAAATCTTTTTATATTATTATAAATTATAAATGAGATCTTGCCCTAAATTTTTTGGAATGCCACCTAATATTTTGCTCTAAAAATAATGGCGCCTAATATTTTGCACACCAAAACATGGAGCTCGTTTCAATTATTTTATTTAGTTGGCTGGCAAAGGTGGGGAACTTGTATTAAGAGATAATTTTTAATAATTATATAATTATTGAGGAAATAAGCTTCTAGGTCAACTCCCAAGTACCTATTAATAATAAAGATAATAATAATATAGACTTAAATTTAATCATTGATAATTATAAAGTAAAATAAATAAATATATAATGTCCATGATTAATAATTTGAATTGTAAAATATTATAAGTGTATATAATCATTTCATATTTGCATACAAATTACTTACATGTACTTATAAAATTGTCGGATATCATAATCTTATAACTTTTTCAACAAATTATATTTACACATTTTTTGATAATTGACCAATGTTTAACCCATAATATTTATATTCTTTTATTAAAATTCTAAGTGCATGAAATATTAAAAAGTTTGATAATTAAATTTCAAGTTTTAGTAACTTTAACCCTTATGTCGTTATGCAACATAAATTTTTAATGGTTGACTATTTTATTTTTAATTTTATATTTTTTATTTATATTAATTTCTTTAATTCATTTTTTTAACTTATATAATGAGTTAATTAGTATCCATCTGAATATTTATATATATTATATTTTTTCATGATTGCTATAATTTAAATTATGATACATGATTATTTTATTTACTTATTTTCATTTATAAATTAATATATAATAAAAAAATTTAGGCTTTAGGGTTTAGGGTTGTTTCGAGTGCATAGCATGGCCGCCCAATAAAAGAATTTGTATTATATATAATTTGTGTGTGCAATCAATTATTATGATTTTTTTTTTTATAACGATACAAAGTATAAGTGCAATTACTAAGGCTATGTCTGGTAAAACTAGCTGATAGCTGATAAGTTAACTTATATCTTATGAGTGATTTTTCGAGTTTATAGCTTATAACTTACAACTTATAGCTGAAAAGTTAGCTTATATGATAGAAGTATTTGGTAAATTAGTTGATAAATTAGTTGAAATAAAAATTTCAACGAGCTTATATTAAAAACTACCCAAAAAAAAATTATGAGATAAGCTCGAGCATTTTTAAAAAAACTCGTCCTATCAAACGAATTTTATTTGAATACATGAAACTTATAAACTAACCAAATAAGTTAGCTTTCATTAAAATTCAGTATGTTATGTGTCACCATAATATATTAGTTAAATCTGTAATTTATTGTTAACATTCGATCATAACCAGTAGTAATAATTTTTAAAATAATCAATAACAAAAATATAGGTAGAAGACATATATTGATATATATTATGTTGAGTACAACTAATTTTTTCTAATAAACAATAATTTATTTTAATTTTTATTCATATCGTTGAATTTATATTTTATGTAACTTTTATAATATAATTGAATTACCTTCGTTTGTGCATGTGCACGAATAAAAGAGTACTAGTTGTTTAATAATAACGAACACAAAGTATAGAATCGCCGGTAGCGCGGAGCAGAGACTAGCGAAGAAACTTTGATCAGACCACTTTAAACTTGGTCCTCTAATTTGAATTCGAATTCGAACAAGAATAGTGTTAGTATTCTGATGTAGGGAACCGTACGAGTGGGACGCTATTAATGAGATTGCAACCTTAAAAACACCTAAGCACGATATCAATTCATCTTTTTTTCATCGTCAATTGACTAAAACAATAGATGGAGAGTCATTTAAATAAGCCTCCTAAGCTCTATTCCTAACTTGTCCAACAAGACAAGATCTCTTACTACATATTAAATAATAATATTAAATTCCTAACTTATTCTCCAAGATACCTACCTATTAAATAATAATGCATTTTTATATTAGTGATATTCTAAGGATATTATGGCACATCAGCATTAAATGTTTAGTATTTTACAAGCTTAATCTCGATACGAATGAAGATTACAACCCGCGACACATGTTCTAATCGATTTTGCACCATAGGATTTCCCGTGTCCCATCACCATTAATGGCTATCGTACGAATAATCTATCAAAATGATAACATTAATCGGACATCCAGCCATGCTCATTCGTCTGAACTCACCACAGTAATTTGCATTCATCCTGCATGTTCGAGCCATTCCCTATCTTCGTTCATTAGTGAGTCTGAACTCGAATAGTACACCTTCGATTTAGTATAGATTCCAATAGTTCGGTTAACACCCCGTACACCAGTACTACTAATTTTAAAAATAACCAATAAAGAAGATATAAATATTTTTATATAGAGAGGACCGATTGACATATATATATATATATATACAATATTGTGTACAACTATTTTTTCATAATAAATAATATTTTAATTTTTATTGTAATTGTAATAAATAAAATAACAAATATGCAACGGAATCATAACTTTATTATATACATCTAATTGTTATAAAATAGTTGTCATTAAAATTATTTAAATAAAAATAATGAATATATTTACTTTACATTCGATGTCACAGTCAGTGTCATTTGTAACATGACTCGTGTCATATTCATTCAAAGATTGTTATGCCTTCTCATTTCTTTGAAAGAAACAAATAATAATAATACAAGAAAAGTAATCATTATTAATAATATTGTAATAATTGAGGCATTCACATGATGCAAACTGGGAAGGATTAGGGTGTGGTTGGATATACGTTTGTGATTATTTTGGTTTTGATTGTTTTTTTAATAATTTTTTCAAAAATTAAATAAATATTACTGAAACTGATATTTTATTTGATAGGGTACTTATGGTCAAATAAACTCTTAAATTTTATTGAAAAATCACAAAAAATTAAAGAATCTTAGATAAAATCAATAAATATAATGTTTAATATGTAATAATTTTAATTCTCATTGTTTATTTAACGCTCATCTTGAAATTTAACGACTCAAAAAATAATTAAAATATCATGATATATTTTAGTTAATTATTGAATGAAAAAGTTCAAATATTTTGAGTGTTAATAATTAAAATATTTCTCATCTTGATATTGACCGCCTAATATTCAAGTGAAGATTCGTTAACTTTATTCGCTAAAAAATAAAAAAAAAAAAAAACCATCTCTTCATTAGCTTCGTTTTGACATCTACCATCTTCAAAGTCGACTAGAGATGTTAGAACATAGACTGGCCGCAAACCAGCTAACGTTACCAAATCAACAGAAGCCTCAGTGTGGCCCACTCTACGCAAAACACCACCATTTTTGTACTTTAACGGAAATACATGGCCTGGTCTCTTGAAATCTTCTGGTCTCAATTTTGGGGATGCCAGAGCAAGTATGGTGTTTGCTCTATCTGAAGCCGATACACCGGTTGATGTCCCAACTTTAGCATCCTAATCGAAAGTTAGGGAGAGCTAGGGCCGCCAGAGGAGAGTCTCACACGGGGGTGACGATTGACTAAGGCAAGAAGGGAGATTGGAGATTTTTTTAGCCGGAGGAGAGAGAAGATATTTTTCCTACACATTTTAATCTCCCATCCAATTTTTCCTTAAAAAATAGAACGAATTGTTTTTTCCATGAGTTGGGCTGGCCCGTGTAATGAATTGTCCACTAAACAGAAGTTTGATAGCTCCTAGAATTAGGGTTTAAAATCGACCTGCCTGTGCCTATTTAAGAGTTATTCTCTTCCTTTTTCAGTTCAGCTCGTCATACAGAGAAATGGCAATCATGTCTCTGAATCTCAAATCAAAATTGAAACCACTCTTGAATTTCTGTAGAACCTTCTCTAACGCTCCTCTCTCCGTCGGTTCAAAGTGTAAGAGCAAGTTTATCGTGGCGCAGCATACAAAAACAATAGGCCTGGGATGCTTTAATTACTTGGTAATTTCGATCGAGGATACTGCTCATGAAGTCGAAAAATGTATCAATTATCCAAAGCTTTATCATAACCCGGTTGCGACTTGCAATGGTTTGATGTTGCTTTTGTTCGAAGGATCACGTGATGAAGATACAGACACAAAAACGAGTCCAGGTGAAGCTTTATGGAATCCCACCACTAACGAACTCAAAATCCTTCCTCCATCTCCCGCAACCTTGAACCCAAGGTACTATTGGAAATGCATCTTAATTATTGAGAATTTTTTTCTCACTTGAATGATAAATTGAATATATCCACAATATTTCACTGTTATTTGGAAACTATATATGAATAAGAATGTTTTTTTTTTCTTGATTTCTTTTCTGGAACGGTAAATTGAATATAAGGGGAAGAATAACTATTTATTGGAGGCATATGTGAATGTAAAACCGGGTCAAGGGCTGTCTGCTGCTAGACCTTCTCCATCCGTACTGCAAAACGCAAAATTTGCAGTACGGGGAGCTCCAATCGGTACCAAAAACTGATCACAAAATGCGATCTACTCTCTCTCTCTCCTCAGTTGGACGCATATTTACGCATATTATGCGTTCAATTTTTTTGCAATTTGGTCCTTTAACTTTGATTAATGTGTAAAATGAATCTGTTTTTTTAGGTTTTTTTAGTTTTTAAATTGTAAAATAATAAAATAATCTTTTAAATTAGAAAATAAGTTTAAAAAATACTAAAAATTTTCTTTTATTTTTTACTTTCATGAAAATTATAATATGATATTTAAAATAATGAATATCATATTATTTTATATTTGTTCGTAATAGAGTAAATATACATGTTAATTTTATATTTTTCATAATAATAGTGTAAAATACTAAAAGAATATAATATCATGAAAATTGGATAGTATAATATTAAAATAGTGAATATCATATTTATTCTTTGATTTTATATATTTCACAATAATAGTGTAAAATATACATATTATTTATGGTACTTTTATTTAGCAATAAAAAAAACAGTAACATTAAATAACAAAAACATTACTAATATAGAATGAGATAAGATTAAAATATGATAAATCACGATTTAAAAAAAAATAAGAACTTAATAATTAGTGCTAAAATGGAATACAATATCACACAATCTAAAAATAAAAATATATCTGTTGTTGTACGAAATTAACAACTTAAAATTACAAACAGCTGAGTGTGTTTAAACAAAGATTAAAGTAAAATTTGATTTTATTTGATATATTCACAAGAGTACAGGAGTCGGTTTTTTATTCTTGACCGAGATCATCTTAAGTCCATGTACAATGTGTTCGAAAAAAGATCCTCGTACTATCATAAATTTTGCTATTTATAGTACGGTGGTTTTTGTCTTCTTGCTTGAGATGGATAAGTATGTATTTAATGTTGAGCAGCTTCAAGCAAGGTGATGTGCTTTGGAATTAGGGAACATCAATGATTACTGTATTATCTTGACGATCCAATCATATGCTTACAGCTCTGTTTTCTGCTTGGATATTTGAACTTTTATGCCGTCGATTTGAACAGATAAAACTTGATTCGACTTGTCATAATATCGGTTGAACTGAAGTCGGTTTATTTGTGTCTGCCTCAATAGTCGGTACTTTTGACGATCTCGGAAGTCGGTAATTAATTCAATGAATACCGACTTGTCCTAAGTTTGTCTTCTTCTGGAGAATTATTTCTTCAATGGAGTGATTAATCTCTACCTTTATGTAATCAAGTCGGATATCAACAACATCATAAGCTCATAAACTAGAATTTAGTAATCTGGCAAGTTGACACCGTTTCCTCAAAGATCATTGAAAAATTTGCCAAATGTATTGGTTCGAAATGAATCGATTTGGTTCTCCAGGATTCGTGTTTTTTCAGCTTCAATATATGCTCGAACTCTAGGATCTTCTATGGAACTGACATTAAAATTTTATTTTCTTCTCTCATTTCTTTTAAAGCGTGGGTTCTATTGCGCATTTCCAATAGGTGTTTTATTTGGTCGTTTATATTTTTCATCTTCTCACTAAGTTTTTTTTTTCTTCCTTCATAGCATTCATTCACCTTTATTTTTAGTTCGACTTTTTTTTAACTCCGATAGGTCTTTCATATGGAGAACCATCAACAAATTGATATGAGTCGCTTAAATTTATATGAAGAAATACCTAGGGATTCTTGTCGGGCACACTCAGGAGTTGGATTTTTTGACTCCGAAGATGGATAACCACCAAATTGTTTTTTCTTGCTCCTCGTAGCTCAATTTTTAAATTTTTTAAGTTTTTAATAGTATCTCAATCGTGATCGTATTTCCATCTGGTTTTGAATTTTGAATCTTATTTAAACAACACTTTTGCTTTGAGCATCTACGATTTTTCATAAACAGTTAACCATAGCTAATATAAATAATATATTTGATCAATAAAAAATATAATAAACTTTTAATACTCACTGTATTTTCATTTGAAGCACCAATCTAATGCATATCTTTTGCTGCTTTTATGAATGCATGGAGTCTCTTGGCTGCTTTTTCGATTGTTTGAACTCGTGCTTGCATAGATCTTTTGCTACGAACCTCCAATGCTCAAGTCGTCTTTCATTGAAACCTTCTTTTATATGGGACCAAAATCGATCAAATGATTGGTATACCCCAATAATTGGGTTTTGAGAAATATCCATATAAACTTGACATAAAATAATATATTTATCGTGGTTATACAAAGAAGAATGGATGGACATTCTTATAAGAAGTAAGATGTGATAAAGGTTTAGTATATAGAATAAAAAATGTTGGGTAGCTACTACAACTTTTATAGTAAGACTCTCTCTCCTCTCCATGTTTTGACCCGAAAATGATAACTCTCTGCAACGGTCCTCACACTTCTCAATGTTTTGATATGAAAATGACCACTCTCTGCAAAAGCGATTACACTTCTCCATGTTCTAACCCAAAAATGACATAGCACTGCAAAGGTACCCGCGTCTCTCAATGCTGTAACCCAAAAATGATCAATCTCTGCAAAGGTACTCCCATTTCTCAATGTTTTGACTCGAAAATGTCTACTCTCTGCAGATGTGTAACTTCTCCATGTTTTTACCCGAAAATGACCTATCACTGCAAAGTTCCCCACATCTCTCAACATTTTGACCCGAAAATGATTACTTTGTGCAAAGATCCTCACATTTCTCAATGTTCTGACTCGAAAATGATATATCAATACAAAAGTCCCCACGTCTCTCAATGATTTGACCCGAAAAGGACATATCACTGCGAAGGTCCCCACGTCTTTCAACGATTTGACTTGTGAATGAACACTCTCTGCAAAGGTGATCACGCTTCTCCATGTTCTGACCTGAAAATGAGTTATCATTGCAAAGTTCCCACAACTCTCAATGGTTTGACCCGAAAACGATCACTCCCTGCAAAGGCCCTCACATTTTTCATTGTTCTGATTAGAAAATGACCACTCTCTGCAATGGTGATCACGCTTCTCCATGTTTTGACCTGAAAATGACATCACTGCAAACATCCCTACGTCTCTCAATGGTTTGACCCGAAAATGAACACTTTCTGCAAAGATGATCACACTTCTCTATGTTTTGACCCGAAAATGATCTCCCACTGCAAAGACTATCACGTCTATCAATGCTTCGACCTGAAAATGACCACTCCCTACATGGGTTACCACACCTTTCAATTCACTACTCTAAGAACATAACATATACTAAATCTTTCACACACTTGAATCTTTTCAAATATCTTATTATATTTTGCTATCCCACAATTCTAGAGTGAATTTTATTTTTGGCAATTTGTCATCTTCATCATCTGATGATGATGATCATATGCTAATTATGAATGCTTTTCGTAAAAAACAAGCAGCGATAACACGTGTTATCGATTATACAACAACATCTTTCAACATCTTCTCAATCAATAAAAACAAGAAGCCTCGCATGGAGGTTCTGTTCCTGGGCATATTTTTATCAATCTTGATCGAGAGGTTGCTGATCATAGGTTGTACAATGATTATTTCTCAAAAAATCCATTGTATAACGAGACCGTGTTTCGTAGAAGATACAAAATGTCCCGTTCGTTATTCCTTTAAATTTTTGTCGCAGTCAAAGATCATGATCATTACTTTCAACATCGAGTGGATTGAGCTGGCATACTTGGATTATCTCCAATACATATACAATAAAAAATAACTGATATATTTCGTATGTTGGCATACGACGTTCCAACATATGCTACAGACGAGTATGTCAAAATTGGTGAGTCTACTGCAATTGAAAGTATGAAAAAGTTTTGTCGAGCGATATCTGCGGAGGCCAACATCTGAGGCTTCTATATATTAGTTAGCAACGTGGTTTTCCAGGAATGTTGGGGAGTTTAGATTGCACGCATTGGAGGTGGAAAAATTACCAGCTGGCTGGTCGAAGTGGAAAGCCTACAATCATTCTTGAAGTTGTAGCAAATTATGATTTATGGATAAGGCATGCTTATTTTGGTTTACCGGGCTCTAACAACTATATCAACGTCTAGAATCATTTCATCTAACCCAAGGTGTTGCCCCTCTAACTCATTATATAATTCCAGGAAAGAGAACACAACATGGGTTATTATTTAGTTGATAGCATATATCTAAAATGGTCTACCATTATGCAAACAATTCATGACCCACGTAGTCCGAAAAAAGATATTTTGCAATGAAACAAGAAGCATGCAGAAAAGACGTTGAACGTGCATTTGGAGTTCTTCAATTACGTTTTGGCATTGTAGCAGGACCAGAATAACAAAAAAAATAAGTGCTATATGATATAAAGATATAATAATCACATGTATAATTTCGCATAACATGATTGTCGAGAATGAACGTGGCTTAAGTGCACAAATTGAAACTAAGATGAAAACATCGCCATCGTAGGTCGAAATGGCAGTAGATGAAAGTACTCGATTTTAAGAATTTATATCTCGGTACCAAAAAAAAAAAGAAAAAGAAATAAAGATGATCACTTTGCACTTCAGAATGCACTAATTGATCATTAATGAGAGAAATTCACCAATTTTGAGACTTGAAAGACTTTTTATTTTTGCTTGATTGTTGTAATTTTTAATTTTTCAACGTAATCTTTCATTTTAGTTTGTGTGTTGTAATTAATTTCTCATCTTGTGCGTTGTAATTTTTAATTCTACCTTATGTAATTTTTAAATTATAATCTTGTGTGTTGTAATTTTTAATTTTATTTTGTATGTCATTTTTAAATTTTAATTTTTAATGAATATTATTTCTCCGATTTTATAATGTATATAATTATAACTTTATAATTAATTTTATTACATAAAGTCTAAACTGAATTTAAATAATACTGTGGTTGAATTTGCAAAGTTGTAAAATATGTAGGTAATATTGAAAAGTTGTAAAAGTTGATGTAAAAGAAAATATTCAGAGAATATTCTTTTGGGTTTGCGAGTGTTTTTCGGTTGGAGATGAATTATTGTTTGATGTGACATTTACTGCAAAACGGGTTTGAGGATGAGGTTTTTCGGTTGGAAATGACCTTAGTTACTGTGAGTTTGAGAATGAGTTTTTCAGTTGGAGATAACCTTAGTTACTTACTGCAGCCCAACTGTAAATTTTTTGACCACTTGTATATAAACACACAAAGAGTATATAGTGATGAGTCCTAGTTAGAATGACAAACATGGTACCTAGTGAAAATTTTTAAACTAGTATGATGGATCTTATCCCCACCCTACTCGCCCACTGTCTCTCTTCCCTCTTTGTCCCTCAGTATCACTTCAGTCCGCAAATTCGATCATTGTTGTTGTCCTCCTCATAGTTGCCCTCCGTGACCGCAACCAGCACTTGCAGACCCCCACCGACCCTTCACCGGCTGTTGATCATTCCCCTTCACTGGCACCCTTGATCGGCCCCTTATATTTAGGTTTTCTTGCACGATTTCCTTTGTGTGCACCACATGCACAAGCGAATATTTTTGATTTTTTATTAATAAAACTTATTAATTTACCATTTTACTTGGTGACTTTCTTAAGCAAAATTTGGCAAAAAATAACAATAGCTGAGGTTTGAACCTTATCCTTACCATAAGGTGGTAGATGCACCCTCCCGCCACTACACCGAGGCAACACAGTAGTTCTAATGCAACATTTTCTAGTTATATAATATCACATAAAAAAATTCAAATAAATACATTTGCTACAAAAAATAAAAGCACATAGAACAAGATAAATTAAAAGAAATTATATACATCAAAAAATAAAAATAATAAATAGATAAATTATAATAAAATACGATAAAATAGAAAATAAAAGAAAATATATAAATTAAAGTAAACTTATATAAATTAAAGTACAAAAATAATAATTATTTTTAATTAAAAATAGAATAAATAAGTTAAAGTAAATTAAGTTAAATAAAGTATATTAGTAAAATAACATAAATTAAAATTACATTAAATCAAATCAAATATAGTTAAATGGAAATATAGTTTTTCCAAATCAAATATTTTGTATTTGGTAATTATATATGGTTTTATTTGAATGAAAATGTAATTATTAGTTAATAAGAATATCTAAAATACATGTCATTTATCAATTATATATGCTTGAACGCCATTAGACGAGAGTTTGTTGTCTTTTTACTTCTTGGAGAAGAGCTGCCATCTCTTTTTCTTCTTCTTGGCCTTTTTCTTCATTGAACGCCGAAGTCCTTCTTCTTCATTGAATGCACTTTGGCGGTTCGAAAGCTTAGTTGCAGATTGAACGCCAACCTTCAATTTGAATGTCTTGAATCATCAAGAGTGTCTTCAAATTTTCAAGAGATTTCTTGAAAGCTCTTGAACTTGAGCCTTTGACTTATGAGGCGTGCTTGTGGTTTTGAGGATACCCTATTTATAGGTGTAGTAGAGAGAGTCTTTGAGAAGAAGACATCAGTTATTCATGATTTGATCTCTTTCCTTATCCTGATATTTTTGGTGTGTAAGAAATATTTACTTTATTAATTAGATATTTTATTTATTTTGGATTTATGTCCAAAAATAAATAAAGACATTAATTAATAAAATATTAAAATTTTGATGCCTACAACAACCCTTTTGACTAGTGTTGGAGGGTTTTTTTTCGGTACCTGGAGCGTTTTGCACAATTGTTTTGTTTTTGTTTTTTTGTTTTGATTTACTTCAAACATTCGTGCCCATAACAAGAGATGGTTTAATTATATTTGCTTTTTATTTTTGTTCTTGAGTTCTGAACACTTTTATCAACTTTTTTAGGACTTTAATTAAAATCTCAATTGACTACCTAAAAATCTTAAATAATCTTAGTTGAGCACAACGGGATTTATAAAATTTTAAAGTCTGGAAATTCTAAGTGAATAATCCCTCCTTAAGTTGCTCTTAAGGTGCCTTTTGTTTATTGAAACTCTGTGTTCGGGTGAAACCAGGAATTTATTTGAGTGGGGGGCAAAAGTATGATCAAATAACTCATTGAGCAACATTTTTTTTAAACGCCGTTTTTAGGTCACCACAGGCTTTGTAAATAACTATTTATCTGATTTTTTGTTTTTTCAGAGACATATTTCTGAAGACGAGCTCCGATTATTTTGGTTTCGGGTTTGATTCGGCATCTGAGGACTATAAGGTGATAAGATTTCTCAGATATAAAGGTAAGTCTAATCCGGCCATTCATGGCGATTGGCCTGTGATGGCTGAACTGTATTCGCTCGCAACTGATTCCTGGCATACAGTCAACATTCGTGCTCTCGATGATCCAAGCATGGGCATTCACGTAAACGGTTCTTATTACTGGTTAAATAGCTATCATCCTGGTTTTATTATGTCTTTTAACTTTGTTAGTGAGAAGTTCTCCTCTTGTCGTATTCAAGTGCCCCAAAGCGAGAAGCTCGATAGATGTACATTTGGTAATTTGAAGCTTGTGGAATTTCGTGGTTCACTTGGTGCTATTGTTCACTCGCATGCTGCTGATCCTCTTTGTAGTTTTGAAGTTTGGGTGTGGGATGACGGCATATGGTCATGGTCACTGGTATCCACGTTCGACGCCCCTATTTCTACGAGTTATGAATGGAGCCTCGTTGGGAGTGATAAACTAATTTTTGTAGACGTGAAGCATGACATGATGTTTTTTGATTATGCAACGGGAAAGTTGGAGAACATTGCTGGTGCGCCTAAAGCTTTTGTAGCGGGCATTTTACCTTTTGTTGAGAGCTACGTTATCCTGAACTAATCTAGGAAATAATCAATGAGATGGTTGAAATTGTTATTTAGTTGATAGCATATATCTAAAATGGTCTACCATTATGCGCTTTAAAAGTAAAAAAAAATCAATCAAAGATATAAATTTTAAATCGAAAATTATAATTCGATCGATTCTAGATGTTATTCTGCAATTGGATTATCACTAATGTGCAATTTAACAGTCATTAATGTGCATTCCGCCTAACATTATTGTGCGTTATATGATGCGCACAAACCACACTAAAATTGAACGAATTATTTGGTTTATTTGATCGGTTAAACGAATTAACATAATTAATTGAAACAAATTATAATTTATATTATAATAGTATATTTAGTATTTTAATGTTTTATTTAATATTTTTATATTATTTTTTGTTGTAAGACCCAAAATATATAAATATCAAAACAATATTTTTTATTTTATAGTTCGTGATCCAATTATATAAAAAAAAATAAAAATAAATTGACGTCAAACTGAACTAACCAAAAAATTTAAAAGTATAAACATGTTAGAGATCCAAAATATAATATTAAGAACCAAAAAAAAATTAGTAGTCGACTTTGATTGCTATAATGCAATCTGACAGTCATTAATGTGCAATCGAAATGCAGTTATGTTTTTTTTTAATTGTCTCAACCCAAACTAAGAACAAAATAACTCCGACGACACCGGTGTGTCCACAACCGGCCGCGAAATGCAGAGCACCGTGCGGTTGCTCTAGTCGGGCTCGCCGGCAAGCTATAGCCTCCTCTCGACCGCGACGGACGCCGGAGATGCAGATCTATCCGGCTAGTCGCTGTAGACAACCATGGCGGTCGGGGTCTGGTGCTGTCGAAGGAATTCGCCGGCGTAAGGAAGATGAGCTTTGGCGAGAGGCTGCCGTTGACGGCGTGTATAGGACTCCGGTGGGCGGGGGAGTGGGCGGCGGTGGTGGCGGGACGGCGGTGGTGAATATGGTGGCGGCTTGTGTGTGTGTGCTCTCGAAGTGTGTGTCTGCGTGCGTGTTGGTATGTGTGTGGTGTGTGTTGGTGGGTGAGAAAGATGGATTAGTGTGTGAGAGTAGTTTGGCAGGTGCGTTAATAAGGTGTGGGGTCCACCTCTTTGGGTGTGGTGTAAAAATTACTATACTGCTCTTAATGAAGGTATAATTTTGACTTTTTTTTAAGTCATTAGATCATCCGATCCAATGCCTACGATTCATTCTTAATTCTTTCACTGAGCACCATTCTCACCGGAGCATGACTCTATATATATATATATAATGTGTTGTTGCACCTCGAACCGGCTCTCCCCTGATCCTCAACCGCTTGCTCTCCGGAGATCTGCAAAGACGCCGGAAGGTGTTTTCGGCGTTAAATCTCCGACGCTTAAGTCAGTAAGGGATAGAGGAAAAATGTATGTAACTGGATGTATTGTTTAGTGTTTGTAGAGTGTGATTAGTCTTGTCTTCTTCCCCAATTTACCTATTTATATAGAATTATTAGCTTCTCCCGTACGCTTTGCTCCTCGTCCGTTTGATCGTTCTACTCCTTTTTTATCCTGACTCTACACGTGTCCCTCGCGGGTCACTTTCCATAACGACTATATTAGCTCGGCCTTCGACCCTTCACAGGCCACTCTTTCCTTGAAGGTTTCTCTTGCCGCACCTATGATGAGCTATACTTGTGATTAGCTATTAAGCTCAATTACCATTAAGCTACACCACCCCGGTGGCAAACTATTAAATCTAGCTGTTTATTAAGCCGAGCTATTAATGCTTCCAATGGGCTAAGCTACTCATATTCTCAGCAGGCCGAGCTACCAAGTTTCTCAATGGGCCGAGCTATCCATACTCTTGGCAGGTCGAGCTACTAAAGTTCTCACTGGGCCGAGCTACTCATATTCTCAGCGGACCTAGCTACCAAGTTTCTCAATGGGCCGAGCTACCCATACTCTCGGCAGGCCGAGCTACTCATATTCTCAGCGGACCGAGCTCTTCGCATTCCCCAACCATGTTTGTGGCCTAACTGTCAATATGCATGAGTTGTCCCTTAATCGGCTATCCCAGTTAACTCTGGTCCCCGAATCGGGCTATATCTATATATATATATATATATACACACACACAAAAGGGTTCATATGAGAAAGAGTTATATTGAAAGAAATAAGAATGAATGTATGCCTTTAGATCTAGCAAATAAATGGTCATGATCAAGTCAAACTTTAATAATGCAGTCAAACATATAATGGCATTATGGTAAATATTTGAACACATAGTGGTCAATATGTGCAATTGACCAATTATTAAGGGTACAAGGGTCATTAAACAATTACCAACCCCTGGTGGACCCCACCCCAACCCAACACATCTCTCTCTCACCCTAAGGGCATCCGCATTTGTTAATTTTTTCCCATTCATTCAATCAAAAAAGTACACTCTCTCTCTTCCACATCATTTCCAAATCACCTTTACACTAAATCTCTCTCCATTTAAACACACACCCACATCCCTACACATTCATTTAAATACATATGTGGGACCAATTTTATTAAAACAAAAAAAAAGTCAAGATTAAACAATTAAATTAACACAAAATAATAAAAAAAATAATAATGAATGCCCGTTCAATGGGCTGAATGAATTTGGGGGCCCCGCAAAATAATGAACGCCCACATTGGTTTTGAATGCACAGGTGGCATTTAAACAATTGAATGAGGGCATATTAATGGCACAAATGTGGGTGCCCTAAGAGCATCCACAATGCTTTTAGGTCTCTTTTTGTATATGTGGCATATAATTGGACTTGGGTCTTACATGATATGGACAAACCCAAGTAAAAAAATTCAAAAACTTTGCAATGCAAAAATAAAAATACTAGGTCTAGCATACATGCCAACCAATAAAAATGCTCTAATATATTTTATTCATTAAAAGAAAAATTAAATTAAGAACAAATTATGAGTGTTTGAGTTTGTACTTGGGTCCAAAATAGACCCAAGTGTAGACTTGGTCTCTTTTTTTCATTGCCACATAAGCTAGACCATGTCCACTTTTAATTGCATTGGGAAGTATTTTTTTATAGACTAGGTCTATTTCCCATGTGGCATGTGATTTTTTGTTAAGAGACCCAAAGCATTGTGGATGCTCTAACACACTAAAAACACACTGCAAATCACACACACGCACCCGCCGCACACACACACACATGATCGGTAACAGCCCATCACCACCAGCCCGCCGGCTCACATTAGTCGTCTGCCACCACGAGACCGCCGTCGGCACCAGAGATGACCGGAACCAGTAGAACCGCCTCTGCCGTCCGTCGCAAAATTAATGGCCGCCAGAGACTCCTGCCGTCAGCCACCGCCCGAAACTTCACGTCGGTAACGATTTCTACTTTGATGCAACACCGCTCGGCGAAATACCGCCGCTTCGGGGCCGCGCAACCCACCTCCGGCTACCGGACGCTTTCGAGATGGTCGCGGGAAGCTTAAGGACCTCCGCCGCCGTCATCACCGGAGTACACTCGTTACTGGACGATCGACGATTGTCAACTCAACATTCACAATGAGACGAAATTGTTGCTGGTGAATGGGAGAGAAATTGTACAGATCTAGTTGCAGACTTGCAGTAAATTTTGGGGCATAAATTTGTGAATTTGATAAGGTTTGAGGACCTAATTACAATTCTATAGTTTTTTATCAAACTTCAATTTGGTACATGGGTCTAATCTATAATTTATAAAAAAAATTATCAAATACACAACAATGATAAAGAAAGTGTAAATTATTATTTGATAAATGCACATTATAACCGATATTATTTAAAATAAATAAAAAAATAATTAATCCGAAATATAAAATTTCGAATCAAAAATTTTAGTTCGTTCGATTTCGGCTGCTAGTGCAATCTGATATTAATTGAATTCATCCTACAATATGGTGCACTTGCCGCACATATATTTTTAATAATTTGTTCCATCGCAATTTAAATCAAATTGAAATAATCGGTGTATTCGATCAATTAACCGAAATACTATATATAATATAAATATTTATATTATAAAAAAAACATATTAGTATTTCTTAATATTTATATTTTTCTTGTTGAAAATAAATAATATTCTTATATATAAAATATATAAAAATATGTTTTATATAGTTCAGTCATTTTTTATTATTGTTGTCATTTTTTAAAAATATAAGGCCGATATTGAACTGAGATAATCTACACTTTACAAATAAAATAGATAATTGAGCTGAAATATAAGATACTGCCACGATAATTTTAGTCCATTCATTTTCGGTCATTATGTGCAACTCGTCTAACATTACTGTGTAATATACTAGTCGTTAATGTGCAATTCATATAACACTGGTGTGCAGTCTTTTTATATGCATTTTTAAACGACTTGTCCCAAATCAAGCTAAACACAACCAAAATAATTGGTTTAATCAATCAGTTGACTGAATTAACCTAAATATACAAAATAATTTATATTTATAGTTTAAAAACTAAATTTAGTATTTTAATACTTTTATTAGTATTTTATATTATTGTTATTTGAAAAGCCACAGTATATATATTTTAAAATAATATTTTTATATAGTATTGTCAGTTGATTATTATAAAAACATAAAGCCGATGTTGGAACGAAATTATTAAAATTTATAAGTAAAATATGATAACCGAACTTGTGTATATGAGTTGTACAAGAAAAATAAGCATATTTCAGTTAGTACATTTGTTATGCTAAAGTGCAATATGATAGGCACAAAAGTGCATCCCGTTAGTCGTTAATGTGCAATATGTACAATACAATTTTAATATTTTTTACTATATTTATTTAACATTTTTATTTTATATTTTAATATGTATGTATAAAAAAACATACTAGTACGTGACCCGTGCGATGCACAGGCTATATTTATTTGGGAAT